CCCCCCCCCCCCACCCCACTCCCCCGCCACGGCCCCTAGCCCCTGGCCGTTCGGCAAGACCCCTGCTTATCCCGGGGCTTCCCGAAATCCAGTTCCCCTCCCCCACCCCAGCTCATGCCCCAGCCCCAGAAGTCCGGGGCTGCCAGCCCCCGGTGCCCCTGCCCCTCCTGAGAATCGGGGTGTGCTCCTCAAGCCCCCTTCCTTCCACTTGGGAGCCCCTTTTAGGGTCCCCCCTCCCTTCCACGCTCCCCTATCCTTCTCTTTTCCAACCTTCTCTTTCCCCTCTCACCCCTCCCCCCATCCTGGCCCCCCCTGCAAAAGTGGGGTGCGGAGGGGGGAGGGGTGAGAACCCACCAAGGGGAGGAACAAAACTCCAATGAAGTCAGAGCCCCCTACTCGCCGCCGCGGCCAGGCCCCCCAACATGGACTGTCTCTGTATAGTGACAACCAAGGTAAGCATGATGGGGGGGGCCGTGGGGAGAGGGAGTAGGTAATGAATTTGTGGAGAGGATTAGGTAGGCCTTCTCTAGGGTTGCAGACCCTGGAGTGAGAGCATCTGAAATAAGATGTATTAGAGGGGTCACAATTTAGTTTTGGGGTTCACATCTGACAAAACGGTGCATTTGGCCACAGGTGCCACCTGGAGTGATCATTTTGTACCTATAGAGAAATGGAGAATTTGGTATTTGGGGTGGCTTGGTATAGGCTTTGGTGTTCACCAGCGATGTTTTGAGGGCAATTTATTTAGGGAGAAGCCTGCTTGGCTCACATGGGAGTTATGCTCATATATGTGGGAAGGTGGGCTATGTGTGTGTGTTGCTGGGGGTTTTTCTTCCTTCCTGGGCAAAGAAGCTGGTTTCTAGGTGCTGGCCAGTTTGGGGGTCTCTTGGCATGAGGGTAAAGATTACTGGTTGTGAGTGTTTGGCTTGTCTGGGAGGGGAGATCAGCTGGCAGGTAAGGGTGGCCCTGCAGGACACAGGACATCTTGTGGTAGATATGTTTAGGATGCTCCTGATTTGAGGGAATTTTTAATTTAGGGCTTAATTATATGGAATAGAGCAACCTGAGGGTTGTGGGAGAGCTGGGGCCTGATACAGAATTACCTGAGAGAATGGACCAGGTGAGATTAGAATTCGGGGTACTCCCATGGAAGCCAGAAGGTCGCAAAAGATGAGGTTGCCGTCTCCAAAGAAGGATGAGAGGTTTAGGGTATGAGGGTAGAGAGAAGGTAGTTGAGGAGGGGGACCATGTGGATGTTGCAGAATTCAGGGGTAGCCCAGGCAGGCGCCCAGTATTCCCATCTCACACAGTTCACCTGGTCCTGATCAAGGAAGCAGAAGAGCAGATGGAGGGGACACTTGCCCCTGACTCTCGGGAGGACACCTGGGCATAAGGGTCTCTGAAGACTTATGGGGTAAAGAGGTTACTGGGATTAAAAGGTGGTGGAGGAAGGCAGGGCTGGCAGAGCCAGGATCTATCCAAGGGTACAGGGTCCCTGTGGTTAAAGCCTGGAAAGAATGGGAGTCCTGGGATGAAAAGCCCTAGCAAGCGCCTGGTAGGATGTTTAGGTCTAGGTCCTTTGCTCCCAGACTCTGGGACTGGCAAACTGGATGCCTGGTGTGTGGAGGGAGGCTTGGGCGGGTGGCAGGCAGCTGGGGGCTGGGGGGTGGGACAGGAAGTGGGGGCCGGGGGAGGCGGGGTCTGGGTGAGTCACAGGCTGGGGAGGGGGTTATATTTAGTGGGAACTGCAGCTTCTTATGGGAGGGAGCTGAGGACACACATGTTCCTTGCCACAAACTCACACATGTGTATACACATGCGTTGTGCACGTGTAAGCATGATTGGAGATTGGGAGCTGAAGATTTTAGGTTTGTGCCCCTCGCCCCATCTATAGGGATGCTTGTTTTTCTCCTGTTTTGTGGGCTTTGGGCTTTCTTCCAGGTTGCTGGTTTTTCAGTAGGTTTTTGATCCACCGTTCTTCTGGCCTTCTTTGAGTGTCTGCCTGTGCTTTTTCTGTCTCTTGTCCTTAGGCCTGACCCTTGGCCTTGGCTTCCTAGCTGTTGTCACCTGTGTACAGATGTATATAGGAAACCCATTGGAATGTGTGGGTTCTGCTTCTAACACGTGAGCACATGAATGCCAGTAAGGGTGAGGGGCTTGCCTGCACTGCTAACTATTCTGGGTGGATGTATTTATTCATTTCTTAGCTCCACACTCCTATGTGTTCGATGGAGCACATGATTGAGCCTCCCTGAAGGTAGGAGGCTTGCAGAGAGCCTCATGCATTCGGGTTTTACTGAGGCTTGGAGACCTAGGTTTGCCACATTCATTGGCCAGAAAACTTGTCAGCCTTCAGGATGGAGGGACTCCAACTCCCATAAGGCCTTGAGGTACAAGATCCCTCAGTGGTAGAGTGTGGTTGTCCTTAGGACTGTTGGGAGTTGTGGTTCCTCTCTATCCAGGGCAGTGGCGGGGAGCCCAGGAAAAACCAGCAGGGGCACATAGCTTCTGCCCTCCGAAAATTCTGCGGGGTGGGTTTGGGAGTGCTCAGGCTTTGTAGTCACTGATCTCTCCTGGTCTGTTTGACGGCCCTCTTATCTTTCGTTGCCTATATTTATAAACTGCTGCAGTAATTTAAGGAACATTTATTGAATACTTAATATGTGCTCAGCTCTGCGCGCTGTGAAAACTCTGCTTTACAGCTATCACTGAGTCTTATTCGGTACCTAGATCTCTGCCAGTATCTCTATCTCAGAGCAGCTTTCTCCCACTCCGCCCCCGTCCCTCCCCCTTCTCCCCGCGCTGCTGCCGCAGTTGCCATGGTAACCAGCGACGACTGAAGTTGCGTGGCGGATTTGAGGGCAGGGCGAGGGTGGCGGAGGGCGGAGCAGAACAAATGGGGGCTGGGGGAAAAGTAGGGAAAAGATAGGGGGCATTTGGCCAGGGCCCCGGAGGCGAAGTGGTTAAGCCCTCTGGGTGGTCCTTATTGGGCAAAACTAAGGTGCTGGGGGCGGGGCACTGTGGCCAAACGCTTCATTCATTGGTCGGCAGGGGCGTGGTGTAAGGATAGTGTGGGCGAGGCCGGGGGAGCGAATGGGCGGGAAGCGGAGGGAGGCGTGGTTTCACAGAGCCAGGTGGGCGGAGTCGGCTTACTCTATCGGAGGCGGGCAGCAACCCTCAGAAAGAGGAGGGACTACGTTGCCAGACCAACACGAGGGCGGGGCTGACCCGGGAGGGGCGGGGTGTGGTTCCTGTACCGAAAGGAGACCCGGTTCGTGTGGCGGTAGTCCAAGTAACTGCGGGATGCGGGGGTCTTTGGAAAGGAGAATCCGTGGGCTGGAGATGTGACGTCTCAATCTTCCTAAGATGGAGGCCTGTTCAGATTTCATCAGAGTACCCCTCCTACCTCAGCTCTGTTCCAGGGAGACAGTTGCTAGGCGACGGCAAAGTCCTTGATTGCTGCGTTGCCTGGCAACGGGGAAACGGAAAATGGAGGGAAAAAGGAAATGGGGGATGGGAGAGGGTCTTAATAGTCCATAGCGCCTACTGGTGGAGAAGAAGGGCCTATATATTTTCTAGACTAGGAAGGAATTTTGAGTACAAGCCCGTTTCGCATTGGTGGTTTCTGAGGACCCATGCATTTTATCCAGAAATAAAAGTAGGACACTGGCGGGGGGACGTTCATTTTGGGGGGCTTACCTAACAGATGCGGAATAAGTGCAGGGTTGAGAATCTACGGAGGTCATTAGCGCCTTTTGCCTTAGGTGGGAATTTTATATTCTGTAGACAGCTGATTTGGGGAGAACCCTCACTAGAGAGATGGCATTTACGGGAAGGATACTTGGGAGAGAGGTTTGAAAGTTCAAGAGTTTGGGAATTGATGGAAGACTGAAGTGACATGGGGCAATTTAGGGTATTTTGAAAGATTTGTGGGTCACTGTAAATTGAGGTCCAGATCATTGGTGAAATTATTTTGAGACAGGGTCTCTCTATGTAGGGTCAGGCTGCCCTGGAACTCACAGAGATCACTGCCTGTGCTTCCCCAGTGCTGAGGTTAAAGAAAAGCACCACCGTGTCTAGCCTGATGCTTCTCTCCCCCACCCTTAAGTGTAGTAGAAAAGATATTTGGAGCCGGGGGGTGGTGGCGCACGCCTTTAATCCCAGCACTCAGGAGGCAGAGGCAGACTGATCTCTGTGAGTTCGAGGCCAGCCTGGTCTACAAGGAGCTAGTTCCAGGACAGGAACCAAAAGCTACGGAGAAACCCTGTCTCTAAAAACCAAAAATAAATAAATAAATAGAAAAGATATTTGGAGCTTGGCGGTGGTGGCACACACCTTTAATCTCAGCACTCAGATGGCAGAGGCAGGCGAATCTCTGTAAGTTCTAGCTCAGCCTGGTCTACAGAGCTAGTCCCAAGACAACCAAAGTGACACAAAGAAACCCTGTCTCAAAAAACAAACAAAACAAAACAAGGAAGAAAGAAAGAAAGAAAAAAGAAATATATTTGAGAACAAATCTTTCAGCAAAAATGTAGCTCAGCATCATGGAGAGAATGTTGAAAAGTGGGGGCAGCCTGAAAATTTACGAATTTGAGGTGTAAAGAAAAGACTAGTTAGGAGTTCGAGGCCAGCCTGGTCTACAAGAGCTAGTTCCAGGACAGGCTCCAAAGCCACAGAGAAACCCTGTCTCAAAAAAAAAAAAAAAAAAAAAGGAAAAAAAAAGCAAAACAACCAAAATTGTTTTGTAATATTTTGTCTAAATATTTTATGGGCTGTTGCTTGGTACCCTCCTCCCCTTAGAGTCAGAGAAAATGGTTCTGAGTGACCAGCGGAAGCAACTCCTTCAAAAATACAAAGAAGAAAAACAGCTTCAAAAGTTGAAAGAGCAGCGAGAGAAAGCTAAGCGAGGAGTATTTAAAGTGGGTCTCTACAGACCTGAC